CTTCAGGTTTTTGCATTGTATAAAATAATGAGCTTTATTATAACATTTTAACCTTCCTTTGTCTCCTACCCCCATTATTTTCTTTTCCGAAACAATTCCTCTTTCCCTCTACTTTCATGTCCTTTTCTCAATACAAGACAAAACTTGTGACATTTATCTTTCTTCCTAGGTTTAGCCTTTTTATTTAATATGGTCATCTCTCACTTCTCGTCTTCATTAAGACATCATAATCTCCTTAACTGTTAATAATAGTCACCCACCCTCAGGTAGTACTGTAGCTCTCCATAGACACCATAACTACTGTGCACCTCCTGTTTTCTCCTCCATTCTCAGTGTGACTGTTGCCATCCACTTTACTTCTAATGTCACTGTTATTAGATTCCATGCAGATGACAAGTATTTCAGAGTTTGAAAATAAGCCTGTGTCTTGTACACAGGGCTTCATTTTGGCTTCCTAGGTTCTTCATTTATGTGCATTCGAATTTCCATCTGGCATCATAATCTCAGTGTGACTGAGAGAGGAGGGGGTTCGGAAGGAGTGAGAGGGGACAGAGAAGAATAAGGGGTGGGTGACTGTCATCAAAATATAAATGCACCTGTATAAAAATGGTACAATGAAACTTATTATCAAGAATAATTAATATATGTTGATAAAGAACATCAAAGATAGAAATCCCTATGACATTTTTGTTTCACTATGGCATTATTGACTGGAATAAATTCAGATTTTGTTTCTCTAAAATTATTTTGTTTTCGTTTTTTAAAGGTGTTTTCAACAAGTAAATTATGGGCAGGTTTTCTTTTCAGTATATTTGTTCTGTAACTTGTGTATTTCTGATAAAACAATACCTTCAGTATTTTATTTTCTTCTTTAATATTCATTGAGCCTAAGTACAACGTTCCTGGAGCATGTACATGCATATGTGTGCATTCAGATCACATGTGCATGGGAAGTTATCAGAATTCTTGTATATTACGTCAGTTATCCTTCAGGAACATTGTAAAAATTCTAATTTATTATCTCTTAAATATTTCCTATCCTTTCTAAAATTGCTTTTCTTCTGGAACTCTTTTATACAAAATCTTTTCTTATTTTTGAGAATATATTACATCATTCTCCCTCTTCCCTTTCCTCTTTCAAAACCCCTCCATATCCCATTGCTCTTTTTCAAATTCATGGCCACTCTTTCATTAATTGTAGTTACATGTAAATATACATGCACATACATAGCTCTATGCACATACACACATGCACACATATACACACATACACAAATTGTAGTTGGCATTTTCTTTGGGCTACCAACCAGCTCCCAAATAAAGACATGAAGACTCATTATTTATTATGATGCTCAGCCTTAGCTTAGGATTGTCCCACTAGCTCTTTTTACTTAACTTAACCCGTCTCTACTCATCTACATTTTGTGTCAGGTATTTTTACCTTTTTCTCATTCTGTATGTCCTACTTTCTTGCTTCCTCCATATCTGACTGACTGGCCCCTGACATCTCCCTGTCATCTCTTTTTCTTTCTTTCCTGAGCCTAAATTCTTCCTCCTACTTTCTCTGACTGCAAGTTCTACCTATGCCTCCTCCCTTGCTATTGGCCATTCAGCTTTTGATTAGAACAATCAGGTGCCTTAGTCAGGTCAGGAGAAACAGCAATACATCTTTACATAATTAAGCAAATGCAGCAATCTTTGCATAGTTAAATAAATATTCTGCAGCACACGCACAGCTGTTTTCCTAAATATAACCTGCTGGATCCATAAAATGCTACTTGTAGGTGTATTTTCAGTACTGACCATTGGGTATTGAATAATCAGTCAGTGTGCTTTTTCTTGGGAAGACTTCTTTCTCCCTCTCTCGGCATTCTTTTCATGCCGGTAGCTCCTTGTGTAGATTTGAGCCTGCATGATCTTTGCTCCCATCCCCTTTAGCCTGTCTACTGTTGTCCTTGTTCAGCTCATGTTTAGACAGTCACATTAGTGATGCTTTATGGGCGTGTCTTCTGACATTAGTAGGTGGCACAGCCTCACAGAAAACTCTCTGATCTTCTGGCTCTTACAAGCTTTCTGCCTTCTGTTCCACAATGTTCTCTGAGCTTACGGTGCAGGAGTTGTATTGTACATGCATCAGTTAGAACTGGGTTCCATAGTTCTGCATTCAGACTGGCTGGGACTCTGCTGGGACTCTTTGTTTCTTAGATATTAGACCATTTGACGTCCTTTAACTCAGGATACTGTGATCTTTTCCTATTTATTTTCTTTTTGTCATTCATTTTATATAATTTCTATATTTCAATTTCCTTTTTACTTTCCTTTGCTGTGCTCAGTGTTTTCATAGAATCGCCAAAGGAATAATTCATCTGCAGTACAGTGAATTAAAATTTGTACTACACTCCCATTTGACTGCTTTATATCTCCGTTGTGATAATGAAATTCCCCAACATGGTCCTGTGAGTTATTTGTTTTTCCTACTTTTTAACATAATGTTAATGATTATTTTCAAGTCTTTGTCAAATCTTGCAATCTATGAATCATATATAGCTATTTGGATTGATTTACCTATTATAAAGGATAATATTTTCTTATATTTTTTACTTAACTTTTGTTGGATGCCTGACATCTTGCTCAGGATACCAGAAATTAAGCTATATGTTAGTAAGTCAAGAAATGGGTGTCGCTTCTCTCCTACTATGGGAGGATTCAGGAATTTAATCAGCTCTCCAGCTGGATTTGGATTGAAGTTTTATTGCTATTTTCTTCTGTGTCAGTTGGAGTTCTCTGAGTAAACAGAATAATGTGATCTGGCTAGCTAGTTTTGGTAAATAGATGGATAGACAGATCATTACTTTACCCATTTAATTACCCAGGCTCAAGCACATCTGTTTCATCATATTTTCATAATTTACTAAGTACACTACTGTTCAATTCTGCCTTTGGGCCTTGTTTCCTTTGTTAATGCCCTAGTGCCACATAAGACTTATGTTAAATGTGATTATCTCCTTTTCCAGTTTTCCTATTTCGTGCCATTATTTTCTCAGATGTCACCACAGTAAAACTGCTAATGTGTGTGTGTGTGTGTGTGTGTGTGTGTGTGTGTGTGTGTATGTGTGTATCCACCCAAAGCACATTGTTACAGATCTAAACAGAATGCTCTAAAAGTTTTTAAGGACAGCTAGGAAAGGAATTGGCATGCTATAACAACCTAAGTAGTGCAAGCAACCATAGAATACGGGAAGGGCTCAAAAAGTTTCCTTGCTCTAGACTCTGGAGAGAGCTCTACTCAGCCACACTCTCTAACCCAGTGATAGAGAGTTCGGACGTCTGGCTTCCCAAACAGCAAGAAAACAAATGCCTGTAATTTTTACTAATGTGTTAACACACTCGTGAGACAGCAACACAGCAGGTGTGGCGCAGATGCAGACACACAGCCTTATTGAGCCAGCCAAGACACCAGCAGGGACTTCTCGGTAGACAAATTGGCAGGCTATTTGACACATCTGTCTGTCCTGAAAGGACACTCAGATGCTGGTGGTGCTTTGGGAATTAAGTTATTCATAGCTATTAAGCAAACCTAAAAGCTAAAGCTTTAAGTAAACACTTGATTATAGGGGAAAGGCAATGTAAATGGCAAGGTTGATTTGCAACATCATTTTCATGGTTGCCACCACGTGCTCTGTTGCTCAGTTAGGAAATGGAAGGGCCGCAGGGTCTGCCCCTAAAGTCACAAATCCAGCTCCTCCAAGATGACATAGAAATGCCAAAGGGAAATCAGATTTCTGATGGACACATTGTACTTAGAGATGCGAGATAAGCATCAAGATAATGAGATTAAACACTGATGGCATTGGCTTTGGGGAAAGCCAGGAAGAAGTGGGAAAGCAGATACCACTGTTCTTCAGTAAGAAGCCACAGAGAACACCATGCATATGTGTGCTTGCATAGTGCCAATGAAGTGAAAGCTGGAAGGGTTGAAAATAGCAGAAGATAAAGACAATAAAAGTGCTTGAGGACTTGAAACTAAAGTAATAACGCGGGGGTGGGAGGAGGTGGCTCACGCCTTTAATCCCAGCACTAGGGAGGCAGAGGCAGGGGGATCTCTGTGAGTTCGAGGCCAGCCTGGTCTACAAGAGCTAGTTCCAGGACAGGCTCCACGGCTACACAGAAAAACCCTGTCTTGAAAGAAAGAAGGAAGGAAGGAAAGAAAGAAAAAAAAAGGAAAAAAGGGAGAGAAGGAGGGAGGGAGGGAGGAAGGAAGGAAGGAAGGAAAGAAAAAAGAAGGAAAAAAGGGAGAGAAGGAGGGAGGGAGGGAGGGAGGAAGGAAGGAAAGAAAAAAGAAGGAAAAAAGGGAGAGAAGGAGGGAGGGAGGAAGGAAGGAAGATAGATTTAAAAACAAATTTCATAGCTCTATGTAAGTGTGTGTGTGTGTGTGTGTGTGTGTGTGTGTGTGTGTAATAACATTTTTGGTGACTGTGTAATATACCAGTTCAAAAGAAGCTATTATGTTTCAAATACCACGGAAGTGCTCTAGGAATCTCTACATGAAGGAAATGGGGAGCAAAACTCTTCAGAGCCAAACTCTCTCACACCAGTAATGAAGTGGGGAGACAGGGCTCGGCCACTCATCTCCATTGGCTTCTCCTCTGCTGGTCCTTCTAGATTCTTCCCTGTCTTCTCAAGCCATATAAACAGGCTCACTGCAGTGCTAGTTTGGCAAACATTAACCATTATTAAATCAATATTTCCATCTGTGTAAACACATGTGTTTACTTGAAAGACTGTTTCTGTGAGGGCTACCAGTGCCAAGAACCATCAATATATCAATGTTCAGTACGAAAACTCAGCAATCAAAATAAAGTAGATTAAATTCAAAATTATGGGTATTGTAGAGGGCCAAAAATGCCACATGATGAAGTCACTCAGAACACTGAGAACATTAAGTCCCTTGAAAATTGGGGGGGGGGGGACAAAGTGGTGGAGATTTCCAGAGAAAGGCCGCAGGGATTTGGGGTGAAGACCTTTGGCAAAATAGGCTAGCCTGTGGTTACTAAGCAAGCAAATTTCCTCATAGCGTCCCGTGCTGGAACAAACTGGGGCTCCCAACCATTGTCCAGCCTCTGTGCCCGTATGCTGCTGACATTGAAGTGGGTCACACAGTGGGAGGGGGCACATCTCATATTTATTCTATCAAGAGAATTGTAACCCAGCTGCTGTGCATCTCTCTCTGAGGGTAGAAGGCGAGGTTAGCATCTGCAGGGCTCAAAGTAGTTGCCAGATGAAGCTAATGTTATGTCAAGAAAAGATAGCACTGAAAAATGGAAAAGACATTCCCTCCCCTCTCCTGATACCTTCAATCTCGCTAATGTTGCTTATTGGTAGAACTGTTAGGGAAGCCAGATCTCAACGGTGTTTACCAAGTATCATAGAGCTCACTCCATGTTTTAAGGTTTCTATTGCTGTGAAGAGACACGATGACCATGACAACTCTTATAAAGGGGAATATTTAATTGGGGCTGGCTTATAGTTTCAGAGGTTCAGGTGCTGGCAAGGTAGTGAGAGGTCTACATCCTGAACAGGCAACAGGAAGTGGTCTAAGATACTGGGCAGTATCTTGAGCGCATGCAAGACCTCAAAGCCTGCCTCCACAGTGACACATGTCTTCCAAGTGTGATTCTCTTTGGGGGCTATATTCTTTCACACCACCACACTCCAAAAGGGTAGAGTGGGGGAGATAGCAGGAGAATAGGGCAATTAGCATTTGTATTCATTTGCTTAACTTCAGCCTACACTCACATCCCATGACCACACATCAGGTGTATCTAGAGGGCTAAATACCCCAACCCTCCACTCCTGGGGCCCCATGTCTTCAGGCTGCCCCTTCTCCAGCACCTACTCTCAGTAGGATACCCTGATGCTCTCACTTTTGCACAGGCCACTAACTGCCATGAAAACCCCAGCTTAGGGTGGCCTGTCTCCCAGTACTCCCTGCTTCCTTCCCTTCATTCTCCAAAGAGGGATTTCTCCTTTTTCACCCTGTCTGGCCCCCAGCCTTAGCTGCAGGCACATCCTCCTTTCATGGTTATTAATAACCTCCAGTGTGTGCTTCTCTTCGGTTTCTTTACTCTCCAGTTCTCTTGGAGATTCTGTGTTATTTAACCCCTTGGACTTCTCAGGTTCCTCTTCATTTCTCCACTACTAACTGCTGATTTCCCTGAAAGTTGTTCTTCCCCCTAGAACTCTCTCCAGAAATGAACTGAAATTGAGTTCTGTATTAAGACAATGGGTTAGAAGTCTTTCTGCCAACTGTGAATGAGAAGTGTTGGGGGTTAGGAGGTGGGAAAAAAAAACCTATATTCCAAAGAGAAAAAAACAGTAGGGACAATAAAAGAATAAGGGGGAATGGGTAAGCTAAAAAGCATGGAGAAACACAAAGTAAACTCAGAGAAAATTAGAAATAGTGTTCAGCTGTAGCCTGGCAAGGGGAGCCTATAGAGCTGAGTGGAAGTGGGGCCGGGAGGGGAGAAAGCTTTCTAAAGGAAATTCTCAGTGTGCTAGCTACTTTCATAACAACTTGAGACAAGCTAGGGTCATTTGGAAAGAGGGAACCTTTATTGAGAAAATGACCCACTGGATTGGCTTATAGGCAAGTCCAGGAATCATTTTCTTAATTAGTGATTGGTGTGGGAGGGCCCAGCTCACTGTAGGGAATGCCAATGGTCCTGAGTAGTACAAAAAAGAAGGTAGAGAGAGCTTTGGAGAGCAATCCAGTAAAGCAGCACTCCTCCATGGCTTTTATTACAGTTCCTGTCTTGATACTGCCTTGACTTCTTTGGATGATGGACTACAAACTTTACTCCCCAAGGTGTTTATGGTCATAGTGTTCTATCACAACAACAGGCACTCCAGGGAAGACACTCAGCATGAAAGTGGGGCAGGCTTCTGCCCGAAATGATATGTAAAGCCACAGCGAAATACAGGAAGGTTAAGAAAGGCAACTGACTCCTTGATAAATTATAGCCTACAGTGGTTGACTTGAGCGGGAAGTGAACCAGAATGCCAGACAAAACACTCAAAGGGGCACTTCATGCAAGATGGTGGTAGCCACTTGCCTTTGCTGGACCGCCGGACCGTGAAGTCACTCAGACCCACAGGGTCTTTGAGGAGAGACACATCAGCAGAGGATGAGCCTGCAAAGTGTGCAGCATCTCCAGAACAATGAAAGGGGGCAGGTTTCATGGCAAGATGCTTTTAAAAAGTTGTCTTATGAAACTGAAGAAAAATAAGGTGGAACAGTGCTGCTTGCAAGAAGGAGAGAAGCCAAACTAGATATGCAGTAGCCATGGCAACTTTGGAGGGTGGCTGAGCATGTGGTTGCTGAGTGGGGCTCTGAAGAGCAGGGGCTGCAAACATCTGGTGCCAAGGGCAGGGAGGTGTGTGGTGGCCAGACCAGATAAGCTGCCCAGCCATAAGGTCACCCTGACTCTGGGCAACAGCAGGATATTTGAGATGGGTCTCAGCAATAGTCCTGTACTTAATGGTGCTTCAGAAACCAAAAACCTTGAACCAGATCAATGACTCATTACAATAAGTGTTTTTATGTAAAGCTGTTTGGAGATATATATTGTGTGAAATACCACAGTTTGCAATGTCACTTTGATGGATGAATGTTCAATGCAGAAGTGGGAAAGAGAGCAGATTGGAGTAGTTCACACTCGAAGGAGAGACAGAACTAGAGATCCAGCAATTGTGGTAACAGGTGAGGAAGTAGAGGTGACATGTCTGTAAGAAGTAGGACTGGGAGGGTATTGGCAGCATTAATCTAATTAATCTTTATCATTAAAAAATCAGGAGTCAGATATTGGGGTAGGAACCTGAAAATCAGAGAATCAGGGAACAGCCACCATTCACCTACTATCTCTACTGTTCCTCCATTCAAAAGGGCAGAGATACTCTCCCTGCCTCCCCTTACTACTTCCTTTCCCCTCTCTGTCTACACGCCTCCAAACCTCTATGGCTAATTTAGGTCAGCTACTGGCTGACTCTGAGCTCTGATTCCAAGCAAGCTTTATTTGTCAGAACACAATCAAAATATCACAAAACAGTCCCCCCTTTTTGTCTAAATAAAAAGCAAAGGTCTTAACTAACATAGAAAAATTATATACAATAAGAATAATAACTATATACCAAATATATGTAGGCAAGAATTACATTAACAATGTCCAGTCCATTTGCATTTGACAAATTCAGAGAAAATATTCCATTATCTGTCCTTGGTGAGTCCAAAGTTTTGTATCTAATTCACTTTCTATCCTAACTTGCATTACCAATGCAAAGCTAATTTTTATGTTTCTCAACCTTATATACTTTACACCTCTTTTGTGAGTTTCTTTTATGAATTTGGTAGCAAGGAGAACTATAACTATCTAATCTTAAACACCATCAGGGACCTGATAAGGATATAATATTTTCTGAGTAAACAGGAAGTACAGAATAAACAACTTCCAAAACTAAGAAATGGCAGAAACAAGTGACTGCCTGGACAGTCACCCAAAGTTCCTCTGTAAAACTGGAGCATTCATCTTTGGCCTGAAGGCCTCGACTATCTGACAGACTTTTCTGTGAGGCATGATTTTTAAAGGACTACCTCACCTTGCCTTAGCAAAGTTTGGCAGTCATGTTCTTTTGTGTCCTGCTTGTCTAATTTGTACAGCACATTGTCAGAAGTTGAAGCAAGGGCAGTTTCTTGCCCAGTGGCTTACTTTCACCACAAAGAAAGTAAACTCCATTTCTTCAATACCTATCATCTTGTTTGAAGTAGATTGATGCTGCCAGAAACAGGCATGTCTCGTTCTCATAAAAAACCTTATGTTATTAAAATATATCTTAAATGCCATATTCTGTAGATCTCTGAATTATTTGAAGGCCACCTGTCTATTTAAAATGTATCTCTGTTTAACCTAGAAAGCATACCTAACATGACTACAAGTTTTATTGTAATGAGTGACTAACTATTAACCTGCATTTCTTTATTATTCTAACCAGTTTATAATAATAACTTTTGAAGACTAGAAATTTACATTAGATTGTTAAATGAGCTGTATAGGTATAATACCTTGAACAAGAGTAGAAATCTATGTACAGTAGGTTCTAACAAATATATCTTAAGCAAGAGTATATATACAATATAACAAAAATAACCTCAAATTTGTATCAGTATACAAGAATCCATACCAATGTAAAATATTTAAGACTAGTAGGCTTTTTTGGGTTAAAAGTATATTCAATCATCTACCCTTTTATCCTAACACTTTATATCCTCCTTTCCTTTTCAGAACAAGATCCCTGAATCCACTCTTCTTTGCTCAGATTTTTTTCCTGACCATTACCAATAGCAACTTGTAACCAACCTCCCTAAACGATGACAAATATTCATAACACACTGAAAGAAAAGACTGCCTACCCAAACTCTTGGGAATAATTTGTCCTTTTTCCTTAGGTGTCTCATTTGTTCAATGGTCTTCAGATTTCTTGGTTAGATGCCTTCATTCTCCTGGAAAGACAAAAAAAAAAAAAAAACCTGCCTCAACCCTAACTTTGGGGAGTTTCCCTTTTGACAAGTTATATCTGATCAAATGAAAAGCATTTTGTAAGTTGTATGAGTTAGTTTCGATTGAATGGTCAGGCTATTTGATGAACTATCACCTCTTCAAATCAGAAGATCTTACCTTTATCAATTTTTGATCCAGGTATCCATAGCTTTTCTTCTCCTGTGGAAACAAAAGCAAAACTACTTTCCATTCTGAGGTAAACACATCATAAAGGTATACAGGCCAATTTAATTCAGCAGTGTTTTTCTTTTATCCAGTGTCTCACTGGACCTCTCATTCCCTTCTCATTAGCATTTAGAAAATGTAAGCTTAATAAAGTGTTGTACAATCTATCTCTGGGGGTCTTTATTATCTCTTTCTGTTTATTAAGCAAATCTTCTAGAGTTTGATTAGATCTTTCTATAACTCCTTGCCCTGTTGGATTGTGTGGTACACCTATAATATGTTTTATGTTGTAATATACAAAAAACTGTTTCATTTTACAAGAGACATTACTGGAGCATTTTTAGTCTTTATTTGTACAGGTATTCCTATGATGGCTATAAATTTTAATAAATGTGTCATGACAGAGTCAGTCTTTTCAGAATTCAAAACAGTTGCCCATTGAAATTCTAAATATGTATTTATGGTATGGTTTAAATATTTTAATTTTCCAAATTCTGCAAAATGAAACAAAACCATTTGCCAAATTTCAATTCTTTGAATACCCTTTGGATTATTTCCTGCAGGTAGTGGAGTTTGGTCATACAAAGAACAAGTAAGACATTTTCTTATAATTTCCTTGGCTTGTTGTCAAGTGATGGAAAAAATCTTTTTTCAAACCCTTGCTATTCACATCATGGTTCTTATGAAATTCTGAGGTTTCTAGCACATTTTCTACTAATAATTCATCAGTTCCACCATTATTTTGTACTAGAGAACCTGGTAGATCTGTATGAGATCTGATATGTATTATATATAAGGGATAATTTCTATTTCTAATTAGTTCTTGTAATTAAACAAATACCAAAATTCTGAATAATTTGGAATGAATCCAGAGGTTTCAATATATAAAATGATTCTTACTTCTTATTGAGAGTCTGTAACTATATTAAGAGCTTCTGGAAAATCTAATAATACCATGAAAATGCATATAATTCTGACTTTTGAACAGTATCATAAGGACTTTGAGCTACTTTACTTAAATGTAATGATTTATAACTTGCCTTTCCTGATTTTTTGTATAAATACAGAATGTAAGGACTCCAAAAATTGGTATTCTTTGTACAATGTGAGGAAGAATCCAGTTAGTTCTCTTTACAAACTGAATTCTCTTGCTTTTGAGATATTTATTGTTAATCTATCCCAAAACTACTAAAAACTCTTTGCCAGTATTCATTTTCTGTCCATAAAGAGGAAATTTCAGCAATAGTAGGTCACTCCCTTGTAGCTGCTACTGTAGAAATTGCTCCAGGCAAATTTTTTAAGGCTTGCAATATAAACACACTACTAAAGGCCATATAGTGAATCTCCATCATAAATGTATGTGTGATTCCAGCTACATTCAGTAGCAAAATAATTGAATCTTAACATTAACAGTGCTTTTGGAATTGTCCTCAGTGAGCCAAACCCTGGAGGGAACCTGACAGGGAGACACCCACATAGCCCTGCATCGCCCTTAGTCCATTGTATTTTATCTTCTAAAGCTGTCCTGTCATCCAGGGCAGTATGTTTTTTTTTCTACCATAGTCATTAGGTCCTTTAATTTCTTGGTGGAAGAGTTTCCCCCATGGTGACAGATAATGATTAAACCAATTTTACATGGAGGCCTGTGATAGCCCTTCCACTGAGTTATTTCCCAATGTTAAAATGTTACCTAGTCTGTCCCTTGTTGAACTCAATTCATTGGCCCAATGTTGGCCTTTGCCACAATTATCCACAGTCCAGAAGGCAGGATCATTCTGTTTGAATTACTGATAGAAAAAAAAATACTCTTTCTAGAAATGCCTTGCCTACAATCCTTTTTAGGTAACCTTGTTCATCACAATTAAAACATATGATATTTTGAGTTTTCTTCAAGCCTTTGGAAGTCACCACTGCTATCCAAGTACCATCATGGTTATGAGCTTTGACATCGACTATATCTCAGATCCATTACTCTGTGGGTACTGATTACCCTTTTTTTTAAATTGTAAATTACCTTTTCAAAAGCCAAAGATTCAGTCAGTATTTGTCTAGCTTCTGGAATTGTTATCATTCTATTTATAGCTGAAGTCAACATTTGTAATAAAACCAGTAAAGGTTTCTTTTGGGCCTTGTATAAATTTAGTAAATGACTCAGTTCTCTTTCTGACTTCTTCAACTTTGTCTCAAGCATCCAAAGCTACTGGATGGCAGAGAGCCAAGGTGTGCTCTTCATATATAGACTGTCTTTGTACACCAACATAATCACCCTCCCGCAGAAGTTTGTCTTGGGATATTTCAATACCTCTAGGCCTCCTTTGTTTTTCAATGGTCTTAGCCTCATCTTTCCCCCAGGTCCTCCATGTAATTGTGGATCAGGCTCCAATACTGCTGCAACCAAGTCTTCCCAGCCATGTGGGATAATTCTGTTATTAGTTGCCCATGAATTTAACATCTGCTTCACAAAGGGTGAATGCATACCATATGAGACTATCATTTCTTTACATCTCCTCAAATCTAACCTTTTCCACAGGAATTCAGTGAGATCTTCCATAGCCTTGAGGATACCTGCCATTATGGTGGTGGTTGTTCATGTTGGTGACTGGATAAATTAAGGCTGGTTATTTGATAACCTTAGGATGTTTTTCTCTAATTTCATAATGTAATGGTGTCATGGCCACCCTCGACCAGCAAGGAATGACACAACCACCAGAGCTCTTCTCACTGCAGTTTTATTCCAGGACCTTTTACACTTATCTCTCTCTTCCCCTCTCTCCTCTCTCTTCTCTCTTTCCTTCCTCTCTCTCTCTCTCTCCCTCTCTCCTCTCTTTCCTCTCTCTCTCTTTTCCCCTCTCTCCTTGACCTCGCTCTTTCCTTCTTTTCTCCCCTTTCTTTGACCTCTCTCCCTCTCTCTCCTTCCTCTCTTTCCCTTTCTTCCCCTCTCTCTTTCCCTCTCTCCCTGGGCAAACCTCTCTCAGCCCTTAAGTAGGCATGGGCTGCCAACCCCGAACTGCCAGGTGGGCACTGCCCATAGCTCACGCATATGCAGGCAGCTGATAATCATTGCGTTATCATAGCATAAGTCAGGTCTTGGCCATCTCAGGAGTTGATTATACATCTCCATCAGGTGTGACACCATGCAGCTCGCTACATAATGGTAGGTTGGTTCTCCTTTAAATTCCTCTGCCTCTAACTGAATATCTTTATTATCTGTTTTAATGAGTTTTTCTAAGGCTTGGAACTTGTTAGTTATAACTTTTTGTACAGCCCGAATTTCATCAGTCAATTCCTCACATTTGGCTCTTATATCAACCAATTTTTTCAGGGATGAAACAAGATTTTCCAAACTTATAATGATTATAATAGACATTGCATGAATCCCAGGTAAGTTAATTATCCCCTCATTTAATTGTTCTATTTCCAAATCATCCTTTGTGGAATCATACAGAGTCCCACCAAATCTGCTGCTGATGACACTGAAGTACAAGGATGTCATCAGGTAGCAGGGTCGGGGCTGAGAACACAGGCGATGCCCAGCACAGAGGACAGGCACTGCTGAACCTACATAGCTGTGAGCTGAGAGTATGTGACAGCAGCCTGAGGAGGGGGTTCATGGGAAGCACACAATCCACAGTGTAAAGGATCCTGGGAGCCAGAGAGCCATCCATCTGAAAGGCAGACACAGGGAAATGTGTAAAAGCAGCATTGTGCTAGGCAAGAAGTAAGAGCACAGAGCTGGCCAGTGGTGAGGGGCTAACTGTGGTAGTGCTTGGTAACAGACGCCTGTGGAGCTTGTGGGGACTGCTGCAGAGAGGTTGCAATGGGAAAGCCTCATGAGGGGAGATCTGTGGGGTTTTTTTTTGTTGTTGTTTTGTTGTTTTTTGCTTGTTTGTTTTATAGTTACTTGAATATACTGAACTGAATTTTAACAAAGGTGCTGAAAACATACACTGGAAAACAAAACAAAATGAAAAATCAGTCTCCAAGAGATGTTTTGAGGAGAACCATAAAGTCATATGCAGAATCAAACTACCGTCCTCATCTTCTTCCCTACACAAAAATCAATTCAAAGTGGGCCCAAGGTATTAATCTGAGACTGAAAACTTTGAAAGTCCTGGAAGAAACCATGGGAAAAACCATAAACTACAGACCCAGGCACGGTCTCTCTGCACAACACACCGTTCACCCAGGAACTGAGTAGAGTAAAACAGCCTCCTGGTAAACTTTGGTTGTGAGCTGGGTGGTGGTGGTGCATGCCTTTAATTCAGCACTCGGGAGGCAGAGGCAGGTAGATCTCTGTGAGTTTGAGGCCAGCCTGGTCTACAAGAGCTAGTGCCAGGACAAGTTACCAGAAATAGCACTATGATATGAAAAATTACCATTAGTTCTTATATAATGATTTTCAAAATATGTCTATATTTTACAATGTTCTGATTCTGTATTACTAAGTCTGTGGGGTTTCTGTCATCTGCAGCATAGGAACCGTATTCTATTGTGCTTTTGCTTCTGCACCGCCTTTAGGCGGATGGTATTCATGAGCCTTTGCTGCATGATCTACAGAATGCCACTGCACATGCCAAGCTTCTTAGCTGGTACTCAGAACACTGCGGAGGATTCCTGCCGGCCTCTGCTTTTTAACATCTTTAACATTATTTCTAAGACCCTGAACAGCGACATTTGGAGACAAATATTGCCAACACTCTCTTCATGTTCTTTACATCAAAATTAGTATCCAAGTTGGTGATACATTCTAAGCCTGGGAAAGAAAGTTCACAGCCACTCTCTCACTAGTTTTGGCATCAGTGTCAAAGTAGAATATGATGCAAATTCTCAATGTCTGGTGTTGGGTTAGTCTTTATTAAGAACATTAACCCAGGGAGTAGAATTTTTGCTGCTGGTAGCAGTTGAAGGCTCCTAGATTCTTTACACACACACTCACAAAGTCTAAATGCATTACCCTTTCTTTCCTAAATTACTGATGGAGGAAGGTCATTGGCTAATAAAGGAACTGCCCTGGCCCATTTTATTGGTTAGGACATAGCTAGGTGGAGTAAACAGATCAAAATGCTGGGAGGAAGAGGAAGTGAGGTCAGAGACTCCACAGCTCTCTCGGGAGCAGACGCCTCAGAGAGAGACACCATGCCCCGCTCCCGGGATGAAGCTCCGACCCAGGATGGACTAGGCTGGAATCTCCCCAGTAAGCGCACCTTGGGGTGCTACATACAGATGATTAGAGATGGGCTAAATTAATATGTGAGAATTAGCCTAGAAGAGAATGGGCCAGGCAGTGTTTGGAGGAATACAGTGTCTGTGTAATTATTTCGGGGATAAGCTAGCCGGGCAGGCGGCTGGGGTGTTGGGGACGCAGCCACGCAGCCGCTCTTATTACTTCATATGGCGCCCATGTGATGGACTAAACCCACTTAAAAAACCTGAGAAGACTTAAAAATAAGGGAGAGAGAGTTTAACACAGATTTTTGCTGTTTGTTGGTGGTGTGCTGTAGAGAGATTTCCTGATTCGGCAACAGTAGCAGAAAAAACGCTGTGTCATTTTAAAGCGCTACTTCCTGGGGCTGTGCCGCCATTGCGATCTCTGTCTGGCTCCTGAGGGAGACAGAGCTTTTGAATAGAGCATTTGGAGTAAAGTGCTACAATTTGTTTGATGGCAACTAGACTCGCTGTGTTCTCAGGTCTACTCTGCTTGCTAGAGGCAAGCAAGCGCCTCATCTAAGAGAGGCTTCCTGACTCAGCTTTAGCTGCAAATCCTGCAGCTCATTAAGAGGTCCTGCCACGAAACACTTAAATGGTGTTGATGAAAAGCTGAACGCATGCTTTTCGGTTTTCAGCCATAGCAGGAAAAAAGCTGCGCCGTTTAAAAATGCCGGCTTTCTGGGCCATCCTGCCAGGGCAAACTCTGACTGTTTGAGGCAGGAGGGCCGGCTACTGAGAGAGAGGACTTGAGTGTTGTCTGTTGTAGCTCACTTGCTGGCAGGGACCTTGAAATGCCATACAGTTGTTGCAGTAAACATGGCTACAGCCTGTATATCCGCCATGAGGCTGGAAAGCTAAGGAAAGGACTGGATCTAGCTGGCAAAGCCACGCCTTTAATCCTACTGATATTGCTTGGTAAATTAAAGACTCGTGTGGTCACAAAAAGAGAGAGATACAGTAAAGAGAGATTCAAAGACAAAGAAAATTTCTAAATGGTTTGAAGTGTGTTAAAAATATATGCAGACTAAAAGTTGAAGTTCTTAAAATAAAAAACAAAAAAAGGAAGAGAGTTGTTGTGTGTGGTAGCACACGCCTTTAATCCCAGTGCCTAGAAGGCAGAGACAAACAGATCTCTGTGAGTTCAAGGTGTAGTAGTGTACACCTTTAATCCCAAATGCCTGGGAGGCAGAGACAGGCGGATCTTTGAGAGTTCAAAGACAGCCTGGTCTACAGAGTTACTTCAGGTCAAAGATACAGAGAACCTTTCTCAAAAAACAAAAAGTTAAAAGTAAAAATAAACGAAATAGAGGTTAAAATAAAACGAACAAAGATGGAAAATACACAGAGAATCTTGATACTGTATGCTATTATGCTCTCTTTGAATCGTTTGAATGCTGAGGAAGGAGCAACAGCTGCTAAAAGATATTTATTTATAAATGCTGCTGAACTAATCCAACATAGATATTTTGAAAATGCCTTGAATTTGAAATTTGGATCTAAGGATATGATACTTTGGAAAGGAGTTTCTTATTTTGTTTTCACAGAGGATGAGACGCTGTTCATTTCTTCTATTCCGATTTGGTATGATGGACCACGTCCTCCTGAAGGGTTGCAGTGAACATCTTCAAAAAATTGCTTCGCTCAACTGCCAACTGAGATGAAACTAGCACACAGGTTATACCGTGAAAGACCTAATTAACGACGCCCCCATTCAGCAGGAAGCAGTTTGGAGAGAAATAACCACGCCCATATTCCCAAAAAATGTTTATAAACGTTCTTTTACATTTAAAGGGGGATATGATATAGATATGAATAATTTACATTAGTATAGATTTTACTTTATTGATAAGAGATTTAAGGTCAATTTTGTTATATGTATAAGTGTTTCTGATTTTGATTAAGGTATTGTGATTGTGTAGTTCATTTAATTATGTACTGTATAATTAAGAAATATAGGTTGTTAATGGATAATCATCGATAATAGTAAAGCTTGTAGTCATGTTAGTTAGATTTTCTAGATATATAGAGATACATTTTAGATAGACATTCTTCATGTCTTTCAAAGATTACAGAATAGGACATTTTAAATGTTTTAATAACTGAGGACTTTTCATGACAATGAGACACTCTGCTCCTGGCAGCACCAATCTACTTCAAGAGGAAGATGGGCATTGAAGAGGCACCTTATGGAGTTTGATAGCCATTTGGGCAAGAAACTGCTCTTGCCTGGACTATTGCATAAACTGGACACAGAGAACCCGCAGAGAGAGGACTACTGAACTTGCCTAAGGTGAGATGATCTTTCGGGGTTCCTGATTCATGAAAGAGTCTGTGAGACATGCTGTAGGACACAACAGATAGTGACTGAACTGACTTTGAATTTTCCTGCTTTATGGAAATGTCTGCTGGATACCATGGGCCTGAAGGCTGAAGATGGATGCCCCAACGGTACAAAAGAACTTTGGGTGACTGTCCAGGCAGCGAGATGTCTTTGTCATTTCTAGAGTTTGAAGTTTCTTAGTTCTTGTTTACTTAGGTAATATATCTTTCTGGAGTCTTTGATGGAGTTAAGAATAGTTAGTTATAGTTATAGTTTTCCTTAGTTATGATAAAGATTATTGTAACTTTTACTTGATAACTGTTTTGTTATATGTAATTTTGCTATGTTAAAGCCTTTTTTTTGTTTAAACCGAAAAAGGGGAAATGATGGAGGAAGGTCATTGGCTAATAAAGGAACTGCCCTGGCCCATTTTATTGGTTAGGACATAGCTAGGTGGAGTAAACAGATCAAAATGCTGGGAGGAAGAGGAAGTGAGGTCAGAGACTCCACAGCTCTCTCGGGAGCAGACACCTCAGAGAGAGACACCATGCCCCGCTCCCGGGATGAAGCTCCGACCCAGGATGGACTAGGCTGGAATCTCCCAGGTAAGCGCACCTTGGGGTGCTACATACAGATGATTAGAGGTGGGCTAAATTAATATGTGAGAATTAGCCTAGAAGAGAATGGGCCAGGCAGTGTTTGGAGGAATACAGTGTCTGTGTAATTATTTCGGGGATAAGCTAGCCGGGCAGGCAGCTGGGGTGTTGGGGACGCAGCCACGCAGCCGCTCTTATTACTTCAAATTACTTTCAAGTAAATATTAACCACAGTTACTTTGCCAAAGTCTTTGACCTAGAAAAGTCTGAAATTGAAAAGAATACCTTCTGAGCTTCAGGCCATCTCTATAGTTTTCCCTCCTTGGGCTTTACAAAATATGGAGGCTACCTTTGTGGGTACAGAGCTGAATAAACTTTGGACTGCCCCATACCCTCTTGGCAGTACAGAGAGCATGTGTATCTTAATCAAGGATCTCTGTGTTAAGGTCCTGGCAGGACCGATTACCAGCTTATGGCACCTTGCAAGACAGTATAGATGTCCACCCTCGAGACATCTCAGTCCTCTTGATATACTTGAAAGTGTCAGAACTAGGCACCAAACACAAACTGGACACCTGGTCCACATGAGTGACAGACTCTAGCAAAAGACAGTAGAATTACCAACAGTGCTCATTCAGAGTTGCGAGGAAGGGCAAGGGAAAGTAGGGAGGGAGAGAGGGACAGACAGAGAGGGTGGGGATATGAATCATATTCCCGAAGATCAGTTGTTTAAAATACAAGGTCCATTTCTTTATGTTAAGTGATATGCCTACGTGTCCACACCATAAAACTCTGTAACACCAGCCTGCCCGCCCACAGTTCCATTCTTGCTGTCTTAGAAAGGGCATTGGGGGATCTCCATACTTCTCTTGCCGCACCTCTAAAATTGGTTGGGAAAACCTTCCTTGTAATGTTGCTCTTAATATCACAAAATAATGTAGGAAGGATGCCCACTCGAGTTTGGGAAGATAGAAGATATCCGCTAGCTTCTTACCAATCTGTGCCTCAGAGGAAAACTGTGCACTTGCATTACTGTGTAATCCATAGATATGCAGGGGACTCTTAAAGGTAACGGAAGGGCACGCATGCCAGCTGTAGCTGTAACTCACTGAGCTGCCCCTACCCATGTGGCTCCATGATCAGCACAAGTGCGCACTGTTCTGCTTGTTCCCCACAGTCATTGAAGTGACACTCTAACTAACCCTTATCTTACAGAGAAGGAGACCATGGCATAGAGCAAGGAGATATGCCCAAGTTCTCTCAGTAGAAGGGATAGGGCATGTTGCAGCCACTGTCTCCTGGCAAGAGTGGAGTCTGTCTCTTACTCATGGCTGTCACGCCCTGGACCAGCTCGCCTCAGGTCCTTGGTCAATGCTGATCAGTAGTGTGTGCTGCAGAGATAGCAGGGGTCTCAGCACCTTTGCTGTGGCTGAGGATGCTTCTCTGCTTTGAAGAAGAATGGACACCAACCCTTCCTCCCCTGAAGCTCTGTCTGTCCACCCCATCTGCCCCGCTTTGTCCCCTGTCCTCCTTACCATGCTCCATGTAGACTTTAAGTTACTGTTTTCCCCAGCAAAGGAAAGCAGATCTCTAACCTGTCTGAGAAAGGGGAGAGTGCAGCTGAGACAGGGGAAGAGTGAACCTGAGAGGGGAGATAGATGCAAAAGGAAGTGTGGAGCCTAACGAAAGCAAAATGTCCCCAACATCACATCCCCAGAACAAGGTTTCCTAGACAGGACAGGGCCTCCCCTTAACTTGCAGTGAGAATAAACTAATGGGTGTGTCATTAAAGGCCAGATCACGTGTGGCATCAGCTGACACTCCAGATAACAATATGTGTGCAACCTTGGCCCAGTGCACTGCAGGAGGGAAGAGCCAGCAGGGACCCATCAATCTCCTGCCAGCAGCGAGGACAGACAGCATGAGCACATCCGGAAAAGTAAGAAAAAGATCTTGCTGTTGGGAATATATTCTCACTAACTTGCTAAAAGATGCTGACTTCTAACTCAGAAATGACGTGCACTGAAGGCAGGGTGTGATGTGTGCTATAGCACAGGGTGTGCACTGCACGACTGTGCAGCCCGGCTGCTGCTAAATACCTTTAACAAGAGCACACAGACTGTAGATTGGGGCCGTCCTCCCTTCCTCACTAACTCTGCAGCACAGGGAATTCATTCTGAGCAACTGTGACTACCTTGTAAACAGAAAGTTGTAAAGAGATCTTTATCAAAGTAGTCTTTACTCAAATCACAATTCCATAGTCTGCTATTCTTTGTAATCATAGCTTTCTCATGAAAACAGAAAAGTCTGATAAACATTTCATAAGAGGAATTTGACTTGGGAACTTAGAAGAACTGTCCATCTCATTAACCTTTAATAAAATTTCTGACAAGAGGTAGATTGATTTCAATGCTTTAGGATCATCCACAGTAAGATTACATTCCCATGCAGGCCGTGATTTGGAAGGGTCCATTGCTGCACAACTCATAAAATCTCTAGAAGCTCTATAGAACTGTCTCTTCTCTGATTAAAAAATAATCATTCAGCTTTTATATAAAATTAATTCTAAGAAAAACAGAATCACTTATCAACAGTAAAAATACATACATATGGTACTACGTTTACCACAAAGTCATCTTCCTTCTTGAGTCTGTGTGTGGTACCGAATCATGCAAGCAGGCATTCAGCATAAACAACTGATCTGTGCTATCCAAGTGCCTAATTACAACGCCAGTGTTTCTGTTGGCATGGGGACTGTTTTAGGAGTGGGTCAAAGGTCCAACAGCTCACAGTGAGAACGGGGGGGGGGGTTGCGGGGGTGTTGGAGACTTCTGCGTCCACTGCACGACTCGGTATAGAAGAGATGGTGGAGAATCATCACAGAAGGGACAGTCGCCAGTAGTTTTGTTCCAGTTCACTCCCGGTCATGTTTAGGATGGCATATCACATTTCAAGGAAAAGTAGTTAGAATAAAGAATGAGTGAAAAAGTTAAAAGAAAGACTGAATTTATGCAGCATAAATGGAAACCCAGTCCTATCAACCAAACAAGAATCGAGGGACTAGGGAATCCAGGTTCTTAAGTGCAGGGTCAGTAACAGGGCTATGGTAATCATAGGCTTGAGTTTATACTGCCTATAACAGGAAAATAACAATGTAGCCAGGTATGATAGACCATTCCTGAAATCTCAGTGCTAGGAAGGCCAAGACAGAAAGGTTCCTAGTTCAAGGGCAGCCTGGGAAGCTCATTAGAATATTGTCTCAGAAATCCAAAGCCTGGGAGTTCTCTGGGACAGAGTGCTTACCTAGAATGCACAAAATAGTACTTCAGAAATATATTTATAGCTATAATTTAAAAATAAACATATATCCAATGTAAGCGGAGGCTGTTGGTTCCTTTCCTGGCTGCCCAGACCTGAATAACCACACGGAAACTTTATTGATTACAACACTGTTTGGCCAATGGCACAAGTTAGCTCTTATATCTTAAATTAACCATTTCTATTAACCTAGGTATTAATAGAAATGGCTGTGGTAGTCTGTGGCCTACCATTAGGGTTCAGTTGGCGGTCTTTCACCTTCGGCAGCTACATGGCATCTCCCTGACTCTGCCTACTCTCTCTATATATATATCTCTTCCAGCCTGGCTATATTCTGCCCTGCCATAGGCCAAGGCAACTTCTTTATTAACCAATGGTAATAGAGCAGACTCACAGCATATAAAAGATAATCCCACATCAATCCAATGATTTCAGTCAAACAACCTCTTTCACAATAGTACCAGTGACTTCAAGGGAAAAACATGTAGCACAAACATGACCTGAAAGAGCATCCCGATGTATGCCCTTTCTCTTCCTGACCTTCTACTATGGTGTCACAGGTTTCTCAGGGTGTTTTGACTCCTTGTAAATGAGAAGAAATGTCCATTTCTATGTAACAATGGGTGGCAGACCTGGGACACAATTACAAAAATCTCCTTGGAGCCGCAGTAACCCTTCCTCTTCCAGGTGATCAAGTGCAAAGCCGCTGTGCTATGGGAGACCAAGAAGCCCTTCTCCATCGAGGAAATAGAAGTCGCGCCCCCCAAGGCCCATGAAGTCCGCATTAAGGTTAAGTCCCTTCCTACCGTCGAAATATTGGGTTTGAAAAACTCAGAAAATACTACATAGATGCGTCCAACTGTCCATTAACATCCCGTTTCATATGCTCATCCCAACAATGAATGAGCCTGTTGGTGAGCCTAGCTGTTGACATCAGCTGCTGAAAGTCGAAGTTTAACACAATCCCCGAAAACTTTTTTATGTTTATGTGTTTGTAAAGTGCTAAACATCTTGAGTCCAAAAGCAATTAATATTAGGTAATTTCTTGGTGCTCATTTCCTAGCTTTAACTCCATAACAATGTATACATTTTTTTGTATGTTGTATAAACTACATTTTTTTCTTTGATTTTCGAGACAGGGTTTCTCCGTACCTTTTTTGGTTCCTGTCCTAGAACTAGCTCTTGTAGACCAGGCTGGCCTCGAACTCACAAGAGATCTGCCTGCCTCTGCCTCCCCAGTGCTGGGATTAAAGGCGTGCGCCACCACCACCTAGCTTAAACTACATTATTTAGGGTCCCTTAATTCACAGGATGATCTTTGATCCTTAAGCTGTTTAACTAAGAAAAGGTACAAAACGACGGGAAATACATAGGAAGTGGTCTCCTGTATAATTCATGTTCCTAGAGAAGCTAAATAAGGTGAATCCAAAGACAAACACATAGGCATCCTCAGGAATATTAACCTTCATCAGGCGATGAAAGGAGACAGAGACAGAGACCCACACGGGAGCACCGGACAGAAATCTCAAGCTCCAAATCAGGAGCAGAAGGAGACGGAGCACGAGCAAGGAACTCAGGACCACGAGGGGTGCACCCACACACTAAGACAATGGGGATGTTCTATTGGGATCTCACCAAGGCCAGCTGGCCTACGTCTGAAAAAGCATGGGATAAATCCGGACTAGCTGAACATAGCGGACAATGAGGAATACTGAGAATTCAAGAACAATTGCAGTGGGTTTTTGATCCTACTGCACGTACTGGCTTTGTGGGAGCCTAGGCAGTTTGAATGCACACCTTACGAGACATGGATAGAGGTGGGCAGTCCTTGGGCTTCCCACAGGTCAGGGAACCCTGATTGCTCTTCGAGCAGATGAGGGGGGGGGGACTTGATTGGGGGAGGGGGAAGGAAATGGGAAGCGGTTGTGGGGACGAGGCAGAAATCCTTAATAAATAAATAAATTAAAAAAAAAAAAACGACGGGAAAACTAGGACCTAATTCGAATTCCAAGCAATAGGGATGGTTAGCAAGCTCCTCAGAAGCACAGTTTCAGAATAGGTGTGCTAAACCTTCTCAATCGCTATTACGGCTCAACAAACTCTATCTCTAATCTGTAGATGGTGGCCACCTCAGTCTGCCGCTCAGACGATCACGTGGTTGCTGGAAACCATCCTACGCCACTCCCTGCAGTTCTAGGCCACGAGGGAGCTGGTATTGTGGAGAGCATCGGAGAAGGGGTGACTTCTGTCAAACCAGGTACAGAATTCTTTACCATCAGGGCTTGTGCTTTCTCTCTGATTGATCCAAGCGCATCCATCCCAAAAGAGGAGCCCAGGCAGTAGGAGACTTGAAATCTGGCACATGGTCACAGGGTTTCCACCTCTTCCTCCCTGCATGCCTCTGTCCTGGGCATCCAATCATGTCTTTTATCTTTCTATATCTATTTTTATTGACAATACGTCAGACACTGAGTGAGGGTCTCCACTGTGACCTTCAGAGTTCATAATCTGCTAACTTCCACTTCAGTGTCATTTAGCACCGGGGATTTTTCAGGATCCAAGCAGACCTACAAATGGGACAAAGGCAAGACCTGCAGGTCCAGGTTCTGAGTGCCTAGATGTAGGGAAGCTGCTCTGTGCTGAGTTCAGAGACCTGACTGCTCGCCTGGCTTCAGGATGCCTCTCCTGTAGGATGCCGTAGGTTTAACCGCATTGCATCCACATGATGGCTTCCTCTTCTCCTATATGTTCCTCCTTCTTCTATATAGGAACATAATACAATATAAGAGGAGACCACAGACGGAAAAATGTAGCCAAAGTCCCGCAAACACAAACACTATTGTATTATCTCTAGTTGGGCTGAAGGTGGTAGTTTGCACATTGCTTTTTGCTTTATTCATGTTTTTATTTTACCTTTGTTTGTGTTTGGATGTAAAGGTTGATTAAAAATATATTTTCTGTGGTGTCATCACATATTCATTTTATCTGTGAAGCATAGTGATCAGGTCATTGATTTGTACAATAACATAGGTAGCACATGTGATTTAAAAACAAAATTATGTTCATCTCCAAAAAGATCACTTTAGCCAGAAGAGTCAGACATTTCTTGCATTCCAAATAACAAAAAAATAAGAAAAGAACTCGTCTGGCTGGAGTTAAGTATTCGTGTTTCCTTTATTCGGAAAAAAAAAGCTAACAGTAGAACAATAGCTTTACTTCTCAGGAGGCTTTGTCTAGAGCAGAAAAAAATTGATAGTTCATAAACAATTATCTAAAAAAAAAGTTGCCTTTTCTTTCTCAGGGGAAACCTCTAACTCAGTGTTGAGGACTGAGATGTCCAGAGCAAGTCGTCCCTTCTCTGTCACATTTCAGTCTGTGTCCTCAAAAACAACTAAGATTATTCTTAACGCATTAGTTTCATAATAAGAGAAGCATAATCACTTTGAAAAACCAAAACATGGTGATGGAGAAACAACTCAGTGGGTGAGGTAATCCTGTTAGACAGTTGACAGTCACCTGTAACTCCAGCTGCTCGGGATCCAGCGCCCTCTGCTGGCCTTCAAGGGCACACACACACACAGACACACACACACATACACACATACACAGACACACACAAGCGCATACACACATGGATCCTCAGACATACACATAAAAACAGGACAAATCTTTTTTTTTTATGATTAATAGGGTGGTATTTATTTAAAGGGGAAAAAACTTACAGATCACTGTCCCAGGCAACAGCGCTCTATGCAACCAGGAAAGGAGTCTAGTAGCAGGCGGAGCAGGAAGTGAAGAGAGAGAGGAGAGGGAAGTGGCCGCTTTTTTTTTTTGGCTTCTTTCTTCTCTTTGTGGATTTGTGAAAGAGATCTGTGGGGTTCCCACCCCAGTCCAGGAACTGATTTGAGCATTTTCTATCCAGGAAGTCAGATTACTGGGAACCAGTCACGTGTCTGTAAATTTACTCTGCCTCCTCCGCAGGACAAATCTTTTTAAGAAGTAAAAAACTAGCTATCAAAATTCTCATTTGAATTTTATCTTATGATCAAGCTTAGTTTGTCTTATTTTTATTATGAAATGTTTCCTATATTGTGTTTGGTCTTATTTTAGTTTCATTTTAACTATTATAACAAATTCAGAATTGTCCAACATCTCATGGGAAGTTAGTAACTCATGGCAACTAAAGTATATATTTATACTTAGCAGTGAGTATATCTAAGGGTTGACTAGGCCTAATACGTGGAAAGCACCCAAGAGCAAATGAGGCACACATTGAAAGTTAGTCGCTCATCAATAGATGTAGCTGTTTTACATTTCCCTTTTGTTTCAGGAAACTTCTGGCACATAGCAACCTGGATGAAGAGCAATGCCCATGCATGACGTTGTGCAGTTGGGCTCTATTTCTTAGAAACCTTTCAAGGACACATATCTCTACATGTAGTTTTCATGTTCCTGTCTTCTTATTCTTGGGTAGACATTTAAGCATCTTATTGTTCCCCTTCCAGGTGATAAAGTCATCCCGCTCTTTTCTCCCCAATGTGGAAATTGCAGAATCTGCAAGCACCCGGAGAGCAACTTATGTGTAACAAGGTAGGTTTCTTATTTCTTCTTGCACAATTAGGTTATACACTGTTTTTTTTATTGTCTTCTTGAACAATTAGATTGCACTCTTGTTTTCCCCTGTTTCATGTCCTTTCTTTGCTGTTTTTCACTGGCCAGTGTGTCACAGACTCAGGGGACGATGTCTGATGGCACCAGCAGGTTCACATGCAAGGGAAAGTCAACCTACAACTTCATGTGCACCAGCACCTTCTCCCAGTATACTGTGGTAGATGAGATGGCAGTGGCTAAAATCGATGCGACTTCACCCCTAGACAAAGTCTGCCTCATCGGCTGCGGGTTCTCAACTGGCTATGGCTCTGCTGTCAAAGTCGCCAAGGTAAGATGGACAGTGGCCCATGGACCAAGCTACGTATGTATTGTTGGGACCAAAGGAAAGAAATTGCTCACAGGCATCAGAGAGTGTTTTTGTAGAAAAGATAAGTCTGTCCAACTCCAGTGAGAATTCCCTCCACACACTCAAGAAAAGCTCTATAATAATATGCATCCAGTTCTGCCTACTTCCCAAAGAAACTGGGCTCTCATAGAAATTATTTGAAACTTATGTAGATCTGTAACTTTAACACTTTGCATTTACTATTGTCTGCAAAGCTCTGTTATGTCCCAGTCCCAAGATACACTTGAGCAATAAAACATGTTTTAAAGAGTCAGAAACTGGAACACTTGGCCATTTGGGACAAATGGAAGATTTTAAAGTGGAGATGTCATCACTGTTACCTCTAAAGTAAGCCAAAGTGGGGAGATCTGCACGGCACAAATGCTGTCACCAGTGTTTTTAAAATAAAGACCAGCATTGCTACTGAGAGCCAACCTGCCTGCATAGTGAAAATTTCCTGAAAAGAAAACCTAGGCTTAGTGATGAACCAGGACTTAAGGCACTGGACCAGTGCAGCCCCTCTGAGCTGCCTGATGTTCTTTGAAAGAGCATCACGATGAACGTGAGCTCTGATAAAGGCCAGCTGGGGCCAGGGTTGTCTCCTTCTTTATGGGCATTGAGAACAAACCTTAACAGCAACATTTTCCCAGCAAACCTAAACTTTGGTTGTGTTAGAGGTCTACCTTTTCTACAGTTTCTGTCTCTTAGGGTGTGCACATCGCATGAGAGACAGCTCCTTTAGCTAACCTCAACTGTGTGTGACCTAGTATATCCTGAGCAAGTTTGTTGGTAGATCCTTTAAAATCTCAGTCTATGACTCTAGGATTCTCCCACATCATTTTCATAGGTTGATGGTGTTGATTAAAATATTGATAGAAAAATGAGCCCAGAAGGAATTTGAAATCTGAAGAAAAGTCATGTCTTTATTATAGATGAAAATGATGCTGATTCTGAGTTATGAGAAAGTAAATGTTTATGGAAATAGATACACTCTGTAATTTTTTGTCATTTTAGCACTAAATGTAGTTACTCCTTGTTTCAACAGGAGGACTGAGCAAGCCTCGCAAGCCAAGAGTCCTTGTGACCAAGGATTTCAATCATTGTTATTAAAATACAGACCAGAGATTGTTTCAGTATTTTTCATTGACTTCGTAAAAAAAAAAGTCAGGCTTAAAGTCTCACAAAGATAACACTGGTATTTTGATGTATTTTCTTAAAGTTTCCTGTCCTCTTTCCTGTTACACCAAGGATGACTTGTCAATGCTGCCCACATGACTTCTGCTCCAGTTACCCTGGTTGTGACTACTGAACGATAGCCAACCAAGAAGTTAATGATTGAAGGGTGGTTGGACTACCCTGTAGTTTCCTAGAGTAACCATGATCACTTGTTTCACTTAAACAAATTTGTTGTGTGTTGGGGAAGATGTTATTATGTGACCATTGAAGATTAAAGTGATTTTTATGTGGTTCAAAGATCAGCCAGTATAGCTGATCTCACAGGCAATTCCCAGTGGATTAGAATGGGGTTCTACCTTAAGAGAATCCAATTAACTTGTAGAAGCTGTTACTGGATTCTGAGATGAACAAAAAAAAAAAGATAACTCCTCAGATACATCTAATATAGAACAAATTTTGAGAACCACTATTGTACCCCTTCGGGCAGCTATTTCCTGAAGAGGTTTTGGAAGCAGGTGGAATGACATCTGAGAGGCCAGGACAGAGGACAAAGCAAGGTGCCTTGTGCAGCATGGAGCACTGCCTAGCAATCACTCTTTGGTCCATCTTTTGAATTTTCTGCACACATAGGTGACCCCAGGCTCCACCTGTGCTGTGTTTGGCCTTGGAGGTGTCGGTCTGTCTGTCATCATTGGCTGTAAAACAGCTGGAGCAGCCAGGATCATCGCTGTGGACATCAACAAAGACAAGTTTGCGAAGGCCAAAGAATTGGGTGCCACTGAGTGCATCAACCCTCTAGATTACAGCAAACCCATCCACGAAGTAATCCAGGAAATGACCGATGGAGGTGTGGACTTCTCTTTTGAAGTAATCGGTCGCCTTGACACCATGGTAGGTGCTGTGGCATGCCTTGAGATCTGTCCTTCTGCCATCCATAATGTGCTCCAGACAGAGGAATAGAAATCTCATGCAGAAAGCTATTTTAGATGGTAATTTTCCATCTCCTGTTTCCTTCTCATATTGATTAATTCGGTGTTCTGACACACCTTTCGACTTGTAAGTTCTACAAATTTGTCTGAAGTAATAATCCTCTATTAATATAGGAAAGCTTTTCATTGAGTTTTTTTCCCTAAAAATCAATTCATCAAGGGAATTTAAAAACAATTTATGGACCTAATGGATGAAAAGATTTTCTTCCACATTCTTAATATTACATAATATTTGAAATTAACTATTCTGAAAAGCATTTTCAAGTCTCATCATGTGGCCAAAAGGAATAATTAGTAATATGAGGCCAAGTATTATTTCATTAGCATCAAATATGTAGAGGAGTGGCTGTTTTAATGGATCACCATGTTTTCATCACAGAGACTGCCGAGTGCCGGGACACAAAAATACCCAGATCTACATGTTGGAGTAAAAACTTTTTAAAATAGAATTCACAGATTCTGCCATATTCCCTACATTTAAGAGATACGCATTCTGTGGGGTTGTTTATGATATACATTACATAGTGAATGTAAAACACTTAGCATGGAGCCAGTTGCCATTTGGTAAGCACTCAATTAAGGTCAGCTGGGGATAAAGATAAGAAAGACTATTGCCAAGCCTACAGTGCTTGTAGTTTTGAAATATACATGATTCATATAGTTGAAAACACCATGCATGGCTAAAGAACATTTTTCTATTACATATCAGCCAAACTAAGTCCTCTGGAGTTCTAGAGAAGCATCCCAGAAACCGAAAAATCACCATTACTGAGGTCCTCCAGAAAGCCTTGGCAGAGTTGTTAATAGAGAATGGGAATGGTGCCCAGAGAGTGACATTCTTCTCAGCCTTGAACTGAGACAAGATGCCAAGGAGACTAGCGTCTCCTCTGTGGATGGGGAGTCCTTCAACGCTCAGGGTTCTGGTTTCCTCACGGCCATAGCTCTTCTGTGATACACTAGACGGTCTCCCTGTTTGCTCATCTGAGCCTGGGTTGTCAGTGGATGTGAAGATCCAAAAGTCTGATTCCCATGTGTTCTGAGGACATCTGGTTTTCTATGTCACGTTTCAAAATCAAAAGACCAGGCATCTTTGAAGATTGTAAATCATTTTTTACTATAAAATGTTTTCTAAAATAACCAATTGAAAGGTGAAAAGTTCCTGGATGTCTCCAGATAACAGAATAATGTAAACCAATGCACACACTGGATTCACAGCCACTGAAAACTTGCCCGTTCTTGATCTAAGCCCCACAGTAGGGACGTGTTAAAAAGGGAGGTGGATAAATAGATAAGAGACAACTTCTGATGATGTCACCATTACATCTTCACCATCTAAATTCTGTCTTAGAGTGCAAACTTCAAAACTGTAGTTAATGGACAATGACAGTGAGTGAACCTACGCATAGGCGCCTGAGAGTCACGTGATGAGGAAACAGTGTTCTCCTTGGAGGACCCAGACTGCACAGGCTCCCAATGGGACTTGCTTCTTTATTAGTTGATAAGGAAGAATTGAACACAAATTCATTCAATCACTTTTTCTCTCAAAATATTTCTCTGCACGTTTCTTCATATGACATGAAACTGTATCGTGAGTAGACCACGAGAATATCCACTTTAAGTATTATTTATATTCCAGATGTCTTCCCTGTTAAGCAGCCATGCATCATGTGGTGTAAGTGTTATTGTTGGGGTTCCTCCTCATTCTCAAAGCCTCTCTGTGAACCCTTTGTTGCTGTTGCTGGGACGCACGTGGAAAGGAGCAATATTTGGTGGTATGTATTCACAGCTGAGGATCAAGTTCTGTATGTGTTCTTTTGTGCCATAGTGGACGTGTTGATATGTGTGGAGTCAGAGAATTTTTGATGTAGCTACAGGAACAATCAGCCTTGTTCATTTTCACTGGGGTCACAGTAGCCTAGATCTCATGGTCAGGCTAGCGTTTTTGGCCAGCCAATCCCAGGAATCTCCCAACTTCCTCCCTCCAGACCTAGAGTTACAGGCTCCCCCAGCACTGAATCCACTGCTTAATGTTACTGGGTTTTCTTTATTTTTTGTTATGTTTTTTATTCTGAAGATAAACTCAGCTTCAATGACAACCTCTCCCCCTACCTGCAGCTCTACCCCTGTAATAAACAGTCCAGACAGGATGCCATTGAATTGCATTCCTAAAAGTTGTGACAAGGATGCTCAAGTGTGGCTCTCCACAGTTAGTGGATTCTGATGGGATGGCGGCGAGGAAGGACTCAGTTTTCTTTAAGAAGCTGACCACTGGGAGCTTGGCTATGCTCCAGTGAGAACATAGGCAACACAAATTGAACTTGCTATATGTTTTTCCTTGGGATATGTCACGGAGTTGCAGGGTCGACCTCAGAGTACTGGGAAATGAGCGTGATCGGGGCATTGTGCGAAATTCCCAGATAATCAATAAAAATCTAATGTCAGAAAAAAAAAACAAAGCAAAAAGAACTTTATTGCCTGAACCATCTCCCCAGCTTTGAGGATCAATTCCTAACTTTTTTCAGAATTTCTTCCCTTTGGTAACAGAAAAGTTCTTAGAAGGCAACATGAGAATCACTGTTTTCTATATAGCAAGAATTGATGCAGGAAATCCCAAGACAGGCTGCTATGCTCCCCATAGAAGGAACTTTCCTGGCTCATTCTACTTGTGTCTCTCTAGGCCCAAAAATGCCTCACAGGATGCAGAGAGCCCAAGGCAGTGATGTTTACTGAAGTTTGGAACACTCCCTTCCTTTGGCTATAAACATCTGCACTATGATTTCTCTAGGAAAGATCTACTAAGCTGCCGTCATCAGCCAGGGACCCTGACATCAGGTGGCATGTTATAAGACATTAACGCCATGCAGAGGGTGTTTGAGTCCCGCATCTGCACTCAGGTGGCAGCCTGGGCACTGTTAGGAACTTGGTTTCTTTGGAAGATCTCTTGTCTAATTCTCCTGCCTGCCCCCTGGCTGCATCTCACGGTGCTGCTCTCTCCTTTCAGGCTTTAAGAGTAAAGATTCTGTCCCCAAGCTTGTGGCTGATTTCATGGCTAAGAAGTTTCCATTGGAGCCATTAATTACCCATGTTTTACCTTTTGAGAAAATCAATGAGGCCTTTGAGCTGCTTCGCTCTGGAGAGAGGTGAGAGCTTTAAGATTCTTTGTATGGGTGGGTGGAAGAAAAAGACTATTTTTATGGTAGGGGAAATGGCCAACAGAAATGAAGAAGAAATGGGATAGGCGCAAAAATGGGACTTCGGTGACCGTTCAGACTCTGCATGCACATGTACGACCCAGGGCATTTTATAAGGCTCAGCCTCAGTTTTCACAGTCTCTAAAATGGAGAAAATTTGATAATCGACCTCATAGTGCCACTGCTTAGGATGAAGTTTAAATGAGACAATGCCTAAAAGGCTTCTACAAAGTGCATGGCAAATAGCCAGCATGAAATGTCTGTTATGGATGGTTTTCACTGAGACTCATAACACATGCTTTATTTACCCTCTGGGCACTGTGAGTTCTGGGAATGTGAACCAACACCTTATGTTTCATATTTCAGTATCCGGACTGTCCTGACGTTCTGAGACCATACTGATGCCTTCCTACTCCTGACCCCTGCACCCCACTGAATCATGACACCAGCCACATACAGCGCTAATGTTGTTCCTTAGGGACACTGCCAATAAAGTAATCATGTAAGCTTTCTGTGAGAAACTGAATTTTCTATGACTCTGTTTTCAACCCCAAGTGAGAGCTACCACACCTCAGATGGGGAGCTGGAGGGTACCCAGCCTTCCTTCCGATTTGTTTGACCTCTGTCATCTTTTCTACTGGGGACAATGTCTCTTGTGACATCTGATATTCTTTTCTCTCTGGAATCCACAGAATGTCTTCACACATCAACATAATCTGCCTCTCCCAGAAGTTGGTCTTGGGAAATCAACAGCTCTAGCCCTAATTCATTGTTCAATGGTCCTTGCCTCATCTTTCCCTCTGAGCCTCTACTGTAATTGAGTATCAGGTTCCAATACTGCTTAACTAAGTCTTCCCGGATTTTTAGGACAATTCTATTAATAGTTGCCCATGAATTCAACATCTGCCACACAAAAGGTGAATGTGTATCATATAAGATTATCACTTCCCCAGTCTCCTCAAATCTAATATTTTTACAGGAACCCAGTGAGCTCTTCCATAGCCTTGGGGATACCTGGCGTTTGGTGGTTGTTCATATTGGTTACTGGATAAATTAAGGCTGGTTATTTGATAATCTTGGAATCTTTCTCTTTAATTTCATAATGTATTGGTGGGTTGGTTCTCCTTAAATTTCTCTGTCAATATCTGAATATCTGTATTATCTGTTTTAATAAGTTTTTCAAGGCCTAGACTTACTAGTCAGGGTGTCTCATTTGGTAATAATATCAACCAATGATTTTAGGAATAAAACAAGAATTACCAAACCAATAATGATTATAATAGACATCACGTTAATCCCAGCTAAGTCAATTACCCTCTTACTTAATGGTTCCATTTTCAAACCATCCATAGTAGGATCACACGAAGACCTAATTCCCTCCATCATAATATTGTTTCCCATTTTATAATCTTGGAGAAAGTCTCTCTTTCTCTTTCTCTCTTTTAGGCTAATTCCCCCTTTTAAGGATTCAAAGTAGCCTCATCAAGTCTGTTGACAGTGACATTGAACTGGATGGCTGGCTGTCACTTTGTGGCAGGGTCTGGGCTGAGAACACAGTCAATGCACAGCCTGATTGAGGACAGCTGCTGAGGATTAGGCATAGTTGTGAGCTGAGAGTATGTGACAGTTTCCTGAGCAGGTGTCCAGGCAGCTCCCCTAGTGTGGCAGCAGGCAGAGGCGGGGGTCCAGGTGAACTGCACAATCCAAATTCAAGTCGTCTGAAAAGTGGATACAGGGGAATGTGTCCATGCAGCACTGTGATGGGCAGGAAGTAAGAGTGCAGAGCTGGCCAGTGGTGAAGTATTTGGAGACTAGGTGTGGTGTAGGAGGTTCTTCTGTTCATGTGTTGCTTTCATTGGTTAATGAAAAAAGAAACTGCTTTGGGCCTGATAGGGCAGAACTTAGGTAGGCGGAGAAGACAGAACTGAATGCTGGGAGGAAGGGCAGAGTGGGAGATGCCATGGATCTTCTGCCTGAGACAGATGCTGGTTAGAATCTTGCCGTTAAACGACAGTCACATGGCGATATACAGATTAATAAATATGGGTTAAATTAAGATGTAAAAATTCGCCAATAAGAAACTAGAGATAATGGGCCAAGCAGTGTTTTAATGAATCCAGTTTCTGTGTGGTTATTTTGGGTGTAAGGTAGCCGGGCAAATGTGACAAACAAGGAGCAGCCTCTCCTTGCAACATGGGTGCCTTTGGATTTGGGGCTTGAGGAGGCTCCTATAGAAAGGCTGCAACAAGAAAATCCCAGACTCGCTCAGAGTGCTTGGAGAAGAAAAGGAAAAGCCAGTCTGCAGTGGGTGGCTCCAGCCAACGCAGTTCCTGCCTGCAGCTCCAGTGGGTGCTAGTGCCTGCAAAGCCACAGGCACGCAGCTGTCTCATGAAATCATGCCTAGAAGTTGGAAGCCTAAAAGGTGAAATGTTAATCTAATTAATCTTTCTCAATAAAAGCTTGGGAGTCAGATATCAGGGAAAGAACATGAAAGATCAGAGAAGCAGGGGGAAGTCAGCAGTTGCCTCCTACTTCTTCCTTTCCTCCATCCAAAAGGACCTACATACTCTCTCTGCCCCGCCTTACTACTTCCTGTCTCCTCTCTGTCTACAGTCCTCCAAACCTCTATGGTTAATTTAGGATAACTAGTGTCTACTAGCTTCAACCTCTGACTCCAAGCAATCTTTATTTGTCAGAATACAGTCAAGTATCATACAACCCTGAAGGATAGCTCTTCACAGTTGATGGCTTCAGGCAGAGCTTGTCAGGGAGGGGTGTGGGGGGAACTGAGTCATCTTTAACAGGCAGGCCACTGGGAGTTTGTCCATGATCCAGTCAATATAAGGGCAACACAAATTAGACATCATTTTTTAATTTTATTTTGGGAGGATAACACAGGGGTGAAAAGGTAGACCAGGGAGAAATGTGAATGAATGTGATCTGGGGGCATTGTATTAATGCCCAATAAAAATATTATTTTGGAAAAAAATTTCCAAGATATAATTAAAATGGAACCAATGACTTCCAGAATTGTACAAATAAACAGGCAGGTAAATTAAGGAATACAATTTAGGATGTGAAAGAAATCAGTGAGGCACTAGAGATTCTAAAAAGAGGTACCACAAAAAATCTTGTAAATGAAATGATCCGTAAATTCAATTTTAAAAACACAGTGAGATGGCTCAGCAGGCGAAGATGCTGTTGTGAAAGGTGGAGAGAGGCTCACTCCAGAGTGGTCCTCTGGCCTCCATGTGTGCACTTTCTAAAACATCAGTTGAGGTTTTCCGCAGAGCAAGCAGAGGGAAGAACATCACAGCCTGAGGACTAACTTCGTGGGTCAGCACAGTCAGGCAACCAGAAAGAGGAAAACTAGGAAATAATAGGTAGAAATTTCAATGATTTGGGGACTAATTAAAATAGCCGTGTGCAGTTCCCAGCTCACCAGCAAGCCCATCGAGATTCTACGGCATTCTTCACAGAACTGGAAAACTGTCTCTAAAACTAATGAGCAAGCACAAACCATCCTGCATTACCAGAGTCCTGGGTGAGGAGAATGCCCAAGGCACAGCCGCACTTGGTTTGCACGCAGGCCACAGAGCCTTAGTAACAAAACAACATGATGGTAGCACAAAACAGACCCCTAGACCAGCAGAATAGAAAACAAGACTGTAAATCAAACTACACTGGTGGGAACTGTAGTTCCCCCAAGGAAACCAAGCCTACACTGAGTATTCTACAGAAGCTAGTCAACTGATTCTGATTTTAGTGATTGTGAAGAGGCTGGAACACTTCAGGTCCAGAGGCAAAGTATCCTGGGCTATCTTAGCCCTTTAGATGTCCATTTATTGCCCACCGGAATCTGCATTATCATTGTGACTAGTAGGTAAATCCCTTTCGAATGTACAAACAGACCCTCTCCTCCATCAACCCCAAACCTTTACAGAACTGCATTACAGACGCAGTCCTCAGGCACAGAGCCAGTTCTGTAGTTTGCTTCATCAAAGGCGCATGTCTCAAATCCCTCCAATAAAGACAGAGGAAGACAATGCTTTCTTGTTCAAAGACGGCATGTTACAGAAGCCCCCCTTTGGCAAAGTATGAAAGTCAGGGTCTACTGCAGTTAAAGAAAATAATTTTAAAGCCCTCTTCAGAAGATAGTTCTCTGAGGTGAACTCACACCGAGGTGTTAGCTTCCTTAATTAGTGAATTCATTTACTTTTGAGGGGGATATCTAAGACCTGATTGAGTTGTGAGCTGGAGGCCTGAATTGCCCTGGTTCTGGAATGAAAAGTCAGAAGCCCCATTGTAACTTTGCAGTAATTCTTTGGTTGATTGATTATAAAGGGCTGTATTTGTGGCTTTCTTGGGGCATTGGAGAAGTCTAAGGCCTCTTTGCTTCTCAAGTTATATGTCTCAGGCTCTCTTCAGTCATGGAGGATGTGTATGACACCCTTGTTCTGAAGTTGTAAGTATGAGGTCCATTTGGCAATTAGTGAATATCTAAGTTCTCCTAGTACTCAAAGGAAAGGTGTGTCAATGTTCCCTTGAACACTGGCAAATGACTGAAGCTTTTGATGTTGAGGGGTATTAGTTTGAAACCCCCTTGAGTTACTGGCAAAAGTTGAGAGTTACCTTGGTTCTATATAAAAAAGATTGAAGCCACCTAGGTCGTTGGGGAAGATCTTAGAGTCCCTGGTTCTGAAGGACAGGTCAGAAGCTCCCTTCATCCATATATCAGGTTGGAAGATCTGTGGTTCTATAATGGTTGGGCTATACCCTGCTTCAGAACTAGTGGAGTGGATTCTGCTTCCTGGTTCAGAAGAGATGTGCTTGAGTGCCCTGTGCGTCCTTGACAAGATATAGATACTAATACGCACACCTATAAATACCTGATCTTTGACAAAGAAGCTAAAATTATACAATGGAAAAAAGAAAGCATCCTCAACAAATGGTATTGGCATAACTGGATGTCAACATATAGAAGAATGAAAATAGATCCATATCTATCCTCACACACAAAACTCAAGTCCAAATGGATTAAAGACCTCAATATAAATCTGACCACAATGAACCTGATAGAAGAGAAAGTGGGAAGTAGCCTTCAATGCAAGGGTACTGAAGACTACTTCCTAAATATAACCTCAGAAGCCACAGACACTAAGAGCAACAATAAATAATGTGACCTCCTAAAAGTAAGAAGCTTCTGTAAAGCAAAGGACACATTCAATAAGATAAAAAGGCAGCCTGCTGAATGGGAAAAGATCTTCACCAACACCACTTCAAAGAAAGGACTGATCTCTAAATTACATAAAGAACTCAAGAAATTTGATAGCAAAATTCTAAATAACCCAATTAAAAAGTGAGGAACAGAACTAAACAGAGAATTCTCAACAGAAGAATCTCAAATGGCCAAAAGAAATATTCAACATCCTTAGCCATCAGGGAAATGCAAATCAAACAACTCTGAGATACCACCTTAACACCTGTCAGAATGGCTAAGACCAAAAACACC